CTCTAGGACTGTGGCAGAAGGACTGGTGAAGGCAGTGCTAGAGAAGAAAGGGGACATGGAGTCCCAGGAAGGTAGAAGCTGGAAGCTTCTGACCTCTGGTAGCAAGTAGAAATCTTCATCTCCACCTGCAGCAGTTTGCCTAGAGAACAGATATGGAGCCCTACCAACAGAGGAGGAAGAACACATTCCTTTGGTGGAGGAGGCCAGGCCAGGCATCCCCAAGATTGAAAGGATCAAGACCGCTGCCACCAAGAAGAAGCAATGAATAGTGGTGGTTGGAGACTCCCTTTTTCTAGCCTGAACTGTTGTCTCAGAAGGCCTGCTGCTTCCCCAGAGCCTGAATCTGAGATGTCATGGAAGAATTATGGAGACTCATCTGGCTCTCTGACTACTCCCTCATGCTGCTCATCCATGTGGGCATCCATAATATTGCTCAGGGTGACCCTGAGCAGATCAAGAGTGACTGCAAGGCTCTGGGTGCAAGGGTGAAGGGGGACAGGGGCTCAGGTGGTGTTGTCCTCAATCTTTCCAGTCAAGGGGAAGGGCGTGGGCAGGAGCAGATGCATCCTGCTGATCAATGTATGGCTGCACAGATGTCACCAACAGGGCTTCAGCTTCTTTGACCATGGGATGTTGTTCCAAGAAGAAGGATTGGTAGGAAGAGATGAGATCCACCTGACAAAGAGAGGAAAAAGCATCTTTACAGACAGGCTTACTAACCTAGTGAGGAGGATTTCAAACTAGGTTTCCTGGGGAATGGAGACTAAAGCCTTGAGGTAAGTGGGAAAGTGGGTGACCTGGAGGAAGCAAAAAGCAGGAAGATACAACAGGGGAGTTCTTCTCATTCTTCCTGAGAAAGTAGGGCAATTGGCTAGTTACTTCAGGTGTCTGTACATGAATGAATGGAGCCTGGGAAACAAACAGGAAGAATTGGAGGTCCTTGCACAGTCATGGAACTATGACATGACTGGACTAACAGAGACCTGGTGGGATAGCTCACATGAATGGAGCACTGTCATGGATGGGTACAAACTGTTCAGGAAAGGCAGGCAGAGAAGAAGAGAAGTTGCCATTTATGTAAAAGAGCTGTTTTTACTCAGATCTCCAGTATGAAACTGGAGATAGGTCTGTTGAAAGTCTCTGGGTTAGAGTCAGAGTGGAGAATACCATGAGTGATGTCATGGTGGGTGTCTGCTATAGACCACCAGACCAGGAGGATAAGGTAGATGAGGCTTTCTTCAAACAGCTACAGCCCTGGTTCTCATGGGGGACTTCACCAACCATGACAATCTGCTGGGAGTGCAATACAGCAGTGCACAGGCAATCCAGAAAGTTTTTGGAGAGTGTTAGGGACAACTTCCTGGTGCAAATGTCACAGAGACCAACTAGGGGCCATGATCTTCTTGACTTGCTGCTCACAAACAAGGAAGAATTAGTGGGAATGTAATAGTGGATGGCAACTTGGCCAGCAGCAACAATTAGATGATTGAGTTCAGGATCCTGAGGAAAGGAAGGAAGGAGAGCAGCAGAGTAATGACCCTGAATTTCAGAAAAGCGGACTTTGACTCACTCAGGTAACTGATGGGCAGGATCCCCTGAGAGGCCAGTCAAAGGAGGAAAGGAGTCTAGGAGAACTGGTGTATTTTAAAGAAACCTTTCTGAGGGTGCAGGAACAAACCATTTCAATGTGTAGGAAGACTAACAAGTATGGCAGAAGACCAGCTTGGCTTAGCAGGGAACTCTTCAGTGAGCTAAAACACAAAAAGGAAGCTTATAAGAAGTTGGACAAACAACTAGGGAGGAGTCTAAGAGTATTGCTCAGGCTGGCAGGAATCAAGTCAGGATTGGAATTGCAACTAACAAGGGATGTGAAGGGTAACAAGAAGGGTTTCTACAAGTACGTCAGCAACAAGAGGAAGATCAGGGAAAGTGTGGGTCCTTTACTAAATGGGGGGAGGCAACCTACTGACAGAAGATGCAAAAAAACCTGAAGTACTCTGTCTTTTTCACCTCAATCTTCACAGGCAAGGTCAGCTTCCAGACTACTGCACCTGGCAGCATGGTTTAGGAAGGAGGTGAGCAGCCAACACTGGTAGAACATGTTAGGGACTATGCAGAAAAGCTGTGTTGGCTACAAAGGACCAACTCACAGGATCATCATAAAATTCTAGTTTATGGGATGGATGCAAAAGTCAGACCATAAACCTTGGTGCTTCCCCTCAAACACACACACATTCATGCACACGCACACATACACGCACGCACGTGAGCGCGCACACACACACACACACACACACACACACACACACACACACACACACACACACTAGCTAGCTATGAACAGTAAGCACCAGTATCAAGATATACCTATCCCCAAGCACTGGAGTCTTCCGTTGATGGCCAGTCCAGGCGTCTTTCAGTGTGATGTTGCTTCTGAAGGGGGTCGCTGGTTGGTCCTTCTGGCTGGACAGGCAGGGTGCTGGTCAGGTCAAAGAGGGCGCCATTGGGAGTCATTCTTCGCTGCCTTTTATCCCTCTCTGGCAGACTTTGGTGACTCCCCAATTCTCAGGCGTACCCAATCCAGGGGTCATTGACCTTGAGGGACAGCCCTCTTGGTAGCTGCTGGATGGCAGCTGTCAGCCCCAGGGGTCATGTCCTCAGGTATGTGCAGTCACAGCAGTCCATTGATGAATTTTGATTGATTCACTGCTGTGATGAATAGAGCTCTGGAAGTGGTTGATCAGGGGGTATTTCAGCCCCAAGGGTCTGTTTCTAGTGTTGATTAGTTCAAACTGGGGCTTCTGTACCTTTAACAGTGAAGTTTCAGGGAGTTCCTGGCTCTGTATTGATTCTTTCCTCTTCTTGGTCTGTAGTTTTGTAGTTGTTAATTGCTGCTCGTTAACTCGTTTATCCAGACTAGCTACTGTGTTACTTAATCAACAATGATTCATTCAGGGATCCACTCAATACAGAGATTCCTGCCCTTGCTAACATTGTTACATGGTACAACTTACTTATAAACTTAAAGTACATTTGTAAAAGCATCTACAAGCTCTATTTTCACTACAAGTACACCTTATATAAAAAAAATAATAATTTAATAAAAGAAAAAGAGAGAGGAAGGAAGAAAAGGTAGAAAAGAGAAAGCACCCCCAAAACAGGGCAAATACTGCAAAAAGGGCTTTTGCCATATGGAGGAGCTTCACATTTGGCCGGGGGGGGGAGGCAAAAAGGTTTCTTGCTACAGCTGTACGTGTATACATCTGTGGGGCCAAATGGAATGCAGCTGAGGGTGCTGAGTTGGCTGATGTGATTTGCAGAGCTTCTGGCCACCATCTTTAAAAACTCAAGGCAATTGGGAGAGGTCCTGGATAATCGGAAAAGGGCAAATATAGCGCCCATCTTTAAGAAAGGAAAGAAGGAGGATCCAGGGAACTACAGACTGATCAGCCTCACCTCAGTCCCTGGAAAAATCATGGAGCAGGTGCTAAAGGAATCCATTTCTTAGCACTTGGAGGAGAAGAAGGTGATTAGAAACAGTCAGCATGGATTCACCAAGGACAAGTCATGCCTGACCACTTGACTGCCTTCTGTGATGAGATGACTGGCTCTGTGGATTGAGTCAGAGCAGTGGATGTGATATACCTTGACTTTAGCAAGATTTTTGATACCATCTCCCACAACATTCTCGTAAGCCAACTAAGGAAGTGTGGGTTGAATGAATGGTCTGTAAGGTGGATAGAAAACTGGCTTGATCATCAGGCTCAGAGGGTAGTAGTCAATGGCTCAATGTCAAGTTGGCAAGTGAAGTGCCCCAGGGGTTGGCCCTGGGGCAGTTTTGCTCAATATCTTCATCAATGACCTGGAAGATGGGATGGAGTGCACTATTTGAAGTTGACACCAAGGTGGAGGGAGTAGTAGATATGCTGGAGGGTAGGGCTAGGATTCAGAGAGACCTCCACAAAGTGGAGGACTGGATCAAAAGAAATCTCATGAGGTTCAATAAGGACAAGTATAAAGTCCTGAACTTAAGATGGAACAATCCCATGCAGCGGTACAGGCCATGGACTGACCCCCTCCCCCCCCCACTACAAAAAGGATGTGGACAAATTGGAGAGAGTCTAGCAGAGGGCAACGAAAATGATTAGGGAGCAGGGGCACATGACTTCTGAGGAGAGGCTGAGGGGACTGGGCTTATTTAGTCAGGAGCAGAGAAGACTGACAGGGGATTTAATAGCAGCCTTCAACTACCTGAAGAGTGGTTCCAAAGAAGATGAAGCTTGACAGTTCTCAGTGGTAGCAGATAATAGAACTAGGGGCTATGGTCTGAAATTGCAGCAAGGGAAGTTTAGGTTAGATATTAAGAAGAACTTTCTCATGAGAAGAATAGTCAAGCAAAAGAACAGTTTACCCAGGGGGTTTGTGGATCTCCATCCTTGGAGGTTTTAAGACCCAGCTAGACAAAGCCTTAGCTGAGATGATCTAGTTGGGGATGATTCTGCTTTGAGCAAGGGGTTGGACTAAATGACCTCCTAAGTTTCCTTCCAACCCTAATTTTCTATGATTCTATGTCATGTCCAACTCCAGGAGTTCAGGCACCTGATTATAATCCCAGGCTCCACCTGCATTGACAAGCAGTAATGGCATGGTTGGAATCCGATCCCTGATCCAAAAATTGCATGACTTGCCATGCACCTGCAGCATAGCAGGAGACATAGTTGTTTGGATCACTGATCAGATCCCATCACATTATTAAATAAATGTGTGCCAAAAGACATAGAAACACCTAGGCCCAAAGCTACAAAGTTTTAGGGTATCTTACTGTCACAGAGCACGGAGGTGCCCTGTGCCTGAAGAGGGGAAAACTGCTAGGGAAGGAGCCCTAGCAGTGACTAAGGAGCACAGCTGTGGGTTGCCAGGGCAACCAGGGAAGGTCAGCTGACTAGAAGGGGCAGGGCTGGGCCCCTTATAAAGTCCAGGAGCTGAGGCCAGAGGGCAGTTCCCTGCCAGCAGCCAGAGAGGCAGGAGCTCCCTATGTGGCAATGTGAGGAGAAGCCTAACTGCAGGTACAGCTTGACCTGAGTTGAGCAATGTTGTTACAGCCAGGAGGCTTAGATTTAAGTTATAGCCAGGAGGCTTGAGTTTGTGTTGCTGTTTGTTAAAACCGGTGGTTTGGGTGAGACTATAAGGGGATGGAGGAGGCATCGTAGGGGACTCACAGCGGAGTGTGAGGACCCCAGTG